CAAGGCGTGCTTGTTTTGGAAATGCGGCACTTCGTTGGAAACACTCTGCCGTCACCTGTCGGCTCAGTGTAGGGAAAGTTGTGAAATTAGACTTCTTACCCAGTGTTTTAGCGTTTGAGACGTGCGCGTTGTGTGCCTGGTGGGCTCTCGTTCAGAGCGGGGAAAGCCCGTGTGTGTCAGTCCGTTTGCGTCCAAGACTTTGTTCCCCATTCAGTTCCTCAGACAGCCTGTGTCTCAGGTACGCGTGTCACTACAGAGGCGGAAACCCAGGCTCCGCGAGCCGAGTGGAGTTTGAGTTGGTATGTCTGATTCTAAAGTGCGGTTTCTCCTCTCTGTTCCCATCGATGTTACAAAATTGGTGAAAACAAGAATTGCATTCTAGACGGGAATTTTTCTTCATTTTCTTCCTGAAGAACTACAGTCCGGAGTTGCCGAGTGTTCTTAGATTAGCTTACAGCGCCTGTGGGTGCATGCTGCTGTCGTCCGCACCCTGGCCTGGGGTGGGGCTGCCCCTGGAGCTGCTAGGACGAAAGGCAGGGTTCCTGCCCTGGAGAAGTGTGCCGTCCGCTGGAGGGGTCAGGACAGAGGCCTGGTGGTGATCGAATACCGTGGGCTGTGCGGTAACTGACCCAGGAGAAGGGGCCAGAGTAGTGGGTGGACGGCCACACAGGACGGCTTCCCGGAGGAGACGTGCCAGGCTGGGTAGAGGCCGAAAGTACAGGCAGGAGGGATAGGAGGGATGTCATTGCAAGCACAAGGGACATCGTGTCCTAAGACACAGCAGTGTAGCAGGGAGGACTCCTGGGGGGATTGAGCCTTGCATGGGAAGTATCCAGGGCGGCTGCAGGGCTGGGTGTGAAGGGCCTCACCTGCCAGTCCCAAGACAGCAGGTGATGGTGAGGCCAGGCCTGGCGGAGGGGCGGCAGGGTGGGACAGGCTGGTTGGGGAAATGCCTGCCCTGCTGCTAGAGGACACAGGCACGTTTGAGTCCCGTGGCCTGCCTTGTGATGGACAACCGTAAAGAAAACCATCAAAGCAAACACAATAATAAATATTCACAAAAACAGAGAAAAAAGTAATTTTAGAAAAGAATATCACACAACACACGACATCCTGCCTCCGCATCCACACACCTTCCCTCCCTCGTGCAGTCCGTGGCCAGGGCCCCGTTCCCCCTGCGAGCACCCGGACTGCAGCAGACACTCCCGAAACCGCCGCACAGCCCTCGGCGCCCAGCTGCTCGGCACGCAGAGCTGTGTGTGTTTTGGATCTGGAAAACCCAGCGCATGAGTGCTGGGGAGGGTGGACGTGGCTTTGCCAGAGCACTCACTGAAAGGTCTTCGAGGTCTTGGTTAGCTGCGGACTCAGCCTCAGCGAGCACCAGCCAGGAAGTCCTCATCGACACCCTCAGCGGGTGTCCGCGGCTGCCTGGCGCACCTGCGGGAGGTGGGCGCAGAGGGCATAGGGTTCTGTAACTGGGAGTCAGCGACCAGGACACGGGGGCCATCATTGCCGGTTATGGTCAGAGTGGCCCGTCAGCACCACACCCACGTCACAGCCCCTGGCGGGGGAAAGGACATGGAAGGCAGTGTCCTTCTGAGGATGTGACTCAGAGGTGCAGGCCCGTCCTCTCAGGCAGAACTCGGTGCCAGGCCACGCCTTCCCGCGTGAGGGGCGGGCGGCGCAGGCTTTCGAGGAGGCTCTGTGCGTGCTGAAAGGAAGGAGGGGAGACCGGGTGTTCGGGGTCAGATGGTGTCTGCTGCAGGGCAACTCTGGAGGCTCTTGTCTCTCCCCTCCGGGGTTCTGACTGTGTCCTCATAGTGATGGGGTGACGTCGAGCGCTAAGTGCTGGGGACGCAGGGTTGTGGTCAGTGTTTAGAAAGCGAGTCTGGCTCCAGGCAGGGGACTTGTGGACGGAGGCTGCAGCACAGGGTGGTGGCTTTTTAACAGAGAGCCAGAAACACAGCCAGAGCAAGGGGACCCGGGTGGCCTGCGGTCACACAACACCGAATGTCGCACATCCGTTCACGCAGTCTGACCTGTGTTTTGTTCGTTCGTTCACAGAACCCCGTGCACCTGCCGTGTGCCAGGGCCGGTTCCGGGTGCCAGGGTGCAGCAGGGCACCAGAGAGAAAGCTCTGTCCTCGAGGGCTCGAGGCCCAGCGAGGACAGGTGTATAGTCAGTGACAAAACAGGATGATTGAAAGTGGGGCAAGTTGCAGACAGGAGGCTCAGAAGACAGGAAGTCCCTGGGCAGAAACACATTTGGCCAGGGCCTGCGAGAAAACCTGAGCGGGCTGAAGCAGAGCCCCTGGGCGGCGCGTGGGAGGAGAGACCGGAGCGGCGGGCAGGGGTGTCCGTGTGTGGTCCTGGCTTTGCTCCGAGAGCAGCACTGGATGTTTCTCTGCAGCGAGGGGATCTGATGGGATCGATGTCTGAAAATCCTCCGTCCGGCTTCTACATACAGGCTGCAGGGCTGTGGTTTCGTGACGTTTCCTGTGTGGGGCCGCGGGTGTGATGTAACCCCGTCCTCATGGGCGGGGTCCCGGGTCAAAAGTCAGAGCTCCAAACCCGGTCCCGCCAAGTCAGACGTCCCGCCCCCGGTGTTCCTCCTCACTCTGGGCTTGAACCTGCTCCAGCCCCTCCCTGCTCAAGTGCACTCCGGGCCGCCACAGAGCCATCAGAAACGCAGGATCCCGGCTCAGACCCGTGCAGCCACCACCTTCACTTCCGCAAGTCCCAGCAGCTCTGGCGCCACGTCCCCTCTGTGCTCTGTCCTCTGGTTAGGGTGTCCCTCTCACCCCCTCTCCCTGCACCCCCCACACCACGCTGCCACACACAGACACACCGAGCCGCCATCGCCGCCTAGGATACGCGCCCAGTGGCCTGTCTGGACCAGGTCACGGTTCGGGGGTCCTGGAGATGGGCGGGCGCCATGTGAGCGACACCTAGAGGAGTGTGAAGTCACAAACGAGGGGCCTGTGGAGGTGCGTTTGGTGAGATTACTGCGTGCAAATTGGTGTTTAAGAAAATTAACCACGGCCGGGCGCGGTGGCTCACGCCTGTAATCCTAGCTCTCTGGGAGGCCGAGGCGGGCGGATTGTTTGAGCTCAGGAGTTC